TAACACTGCCCCCGTCCCCCACAATCAAAATGCGTGCCGCTTCCCATGACCGCCAAAGAAGAGCGCCATTAGCCCCCCAAGGCGGCCTCTAAAGGGGCGCCTTCGCGTGCCGACCAGAAGAGACGCGTGCGTCCAGTGCCTGCTCCCTGGATCCAACCCTGCATGACTCTATACTGCTTAAATTAAAGACATTTCAGAACTATACAAAAATGTAAAACACATGTCGGGTCTAATCAAAATCGAGTGGGCTAGGTCCAGTGAGAAAAATGGGGGGTAGATTGTCGGGCCTTCGGTAGGACCCCCTCCAAGAATTTACAAAAAAATTGACACCCCTGATTCGGCAGCTATCGGCGTGACAGATTCTGAGCTATGAGTAGTCTGCAAGTAAAAATTTTAGACTTTTTGAAACTTGACGACTTTTGAACTGACCTAGGGTCACCAAATTTGGAGCTGCCAAAGGGAATCAGGTGTGGGGCATCTAATGGTGAAGGTTTCACAATGATCGGTCCAGAAGGCTCTGAGATTTGAGTTGTCTGCATCTGCATGTACAATTTTCCTTTCCCTTTTTCGAGATATTTGGCCTCAGGCCAGATCTCAATATTGCCTCCCTATGACTTACCTCATTGCACGGAATCGATTGGTGAAGGCTTCAAGGCTATCACACGAGCCGTTTCGGAAAACCTGTGTGTCTGCGTGACATACCGGTTTTTAGACCCTGCTGTGAAATCATCACAACATTTTCGGATTGTCCCCGTACGAGCCCTGCTCTTGCCCGCCGTCAGCGGCCACCGGCCTTTCACGACCGCTGCCCGTCGACGACGGCCGCCACCCGCCTGGCTGAATGTGAATGGATCGTCCGACTGCCTTTTCGCACGTGTGCAGTTCTGCGTGCCAAGTTTTTCTTTTTAACGCAATGTGGGAAACAGATCTGTCAGGTCCTTCTCAAACTATGGTGGGTACCTAGCATTGTTGGCCCCATCGAGTGGAAGTATCCCCCACAAGTGGAGAGAAGGGGGTGGGGCGTCGTACCCTGTCCCCTCGTTTCTACGCCTTTGATTACGAAGGCGGAGGTAAGTCGCAAATATGTATTGAATAGCCAATACGATGCCTCAGGTTTGTACAGTCCGTTGCTACCCAGTCGTCAAAAGCCGTGCAATATTTCTGAATGGGAGCAGACAGCGGCCAGTGAAAATAGTGCAGCATTGGAAACATGTCCAATGGAAAAGCCCTCACGAAGAAGCATTGATAACACGAAATAGTGGTCCAATATCGCTAAGGATTTTGACAGCTTTATTTACTTGGACAGGTAAGGGGCACGTGTGAGGAAAATATGACTAAAGGGATGCAAGCGTGCGAAACCTCCACCTGCTGTGTCACGCCCTCTAACGTTCTTAATAGCGCTGTTTTTTTCCTGATCTTCCACTTCGGTGTTGGAACTCACATATTTACGATTATTTTGAACTCACATCATTAATATCTCCAAGAAATGGAAAAATTAGAACAGAAGCTTAAAACGCCAAATATCTGTAAAATTTTCGCATCTTTATCTTACACATTCCCCGACATAACCGACATGTCATGCCGCTACGGTTATTTGTATTACAGGACATCTGAACGGTCTCGGGAAACTATCCAGCGGAGCGGTGTGCCGACGCCGCCTCTTTAAACGACCCAGCGGGGCGCCATCCATAAATATACGAAGATTTTACAGATGTTTAACGATCGAAGCTTCGATTTTAATCCAGTGGGGCGACGCACCGACACCGGCACTGACACGGTCGCCCGCGCTTGGTCATAGCGACTTCGCGCTTTGTGATCTATTAGCATTGTCACATAGTCATGCATCGATTTCGATCCCCATGATATAAAGACACAATGATACGCTTTGCATGAAAGTGATTTCCAAAATTATCTCAATCGCACGCGCAGTCGATATCTCGCCGAGTTTTGATCGTGCCACTATATCAAAGCTATGGATGTCGTTCAAGCTCGACGCACCCGTGAGGATGCGTGAGCGGCAATCATTCAGGAGCATGTTTGTTACGATACAAATCTAGCTTAAGGCTTGAAATACGCACAAGGTAACGTCTGGCCTTTAAATGTGTCTTAAAATTTGCCGAAAATATTTTTGTGTGCCGTTGCAATGTCATAAAGCTTCTAATTTATTGTTGGCACCTAAATACCACCAGATGAATCAGCTAGTCCATCTGTTTCTTGCTTTTTGTACATGGCAAAGCTTCCTAATCTTGTGAGACGCGTACACAGCGACGGACATGTTTGACAAAGTACGGATTTCTTTCGGAATCGATAAAAACTGACAAAGCTCCTGTGTTGAACTAAATTCGCTCCGATGTCAGTGCAAACCATTTGCAATTCGCTCGCTCGGCTGAAAAAAACATTTCTTGTCATTTTGGAAGTCCGTATATCTACAGGCTTCAGCCAGCGTGCCCGGCGCATACGTGTAACGCCGAATCTTATAATGTAAAGCAACGGGTTTTGTTTGAATAGCCTGCCCTCTTTAATGCAGGATGTAAGTGGTGCTTGTCCACCCCCACGTCCACCCACCAACGGCTAGGTTTGTGAGTGCCGCACCTCTGGTGTGTGCCGGTCGGCTCCTGCGGCGTCCAGCTGGTACCGAGCTCCGAGCGCCTGGCTCCGGTCGGGATCTGCTGCACCCGGGGCCATGGGGGGAGGGGGGGGGGCACCACGCCAATCGAGGCCGTATGTAAAGGGACTTTCCGCATAGTTACCGTATGGATAGACTCGATATGTAATACGGGTCGGCGTTGTAAAGTGGCAGTAGAGCAGCTCATTTAGGATATGGACATCGGATACATTGGCGGAAAAAAAACAACATAAATGCGGAAGATGAAGGTAGTACGCATTTGGCACACATCAAAGTATGGGCACATGTTGCCAAAGATCAACCATGGCGCTTATGTTGCGCAATGATCTGTCTAAATCAGAAAATAATCTGATAAACTCTGGGCATGAATTTTATGCCGCAAAACTTGAACGTAGTTGTCCGGAGAAAAACGTAGAAGTAGGCAAGGCGATACATGAAGTGGGCATCCGGTAAGATGTTGAGTGGAAAGAGCTTAAATGAAAACGTACGGATGAAATATTTCGAATAATGCAAACAAGAAGAGGCCAAGGTGGACGGAGGCAGAATCCCCAAAAGAAGAAAACTATAGCTTAACAGGGATACATATGCACAAGAATAAAGTTCAGGATGGAGCAAATAAGACACAAAAGTCCTCGGGGACAGAAATCGACGGGGAGAAAAGTGAAATGATAAGGTTTAATGGGAAAGCGTCAAAAGAGACAACCGTAAAAAGAGGAAAGACCAAATGGCGCAAATTGATCAATGGCTTGTTTGGTAAGGCCGTATGTTTCCATAACCGCTTCGTGATGGTGAGACTAAGTCTGACCCTGAGACTTCTGTATTGACCGGTCTGGCCGTGCCTCTGACTTCGGCAGAGAAACCATTAAAGGTAATAGTTCCTTTACCCAATCTACCCGCTCTCCTTGGCTATACCCATACCCATACCATACACATTTTGAGCCAGTTGTATCCGATGCAACTGGTTCAGAATGACTGGACCACCCGTTACACACTCGTTGGCATTGGTTTCAGCACGTAAGATCTCAACTGTTTTGGTGTTGCAGGGAAGTTTACACCGGAGCATGCTCTTCCGCGTAGACGATTATTTAAGTGTTGTGACCTGAGACAATGGGACTTCGAAGCATAAAAAGAAGCATTGTGTAGTATTTCTTGACATGTTTACCTGACATTTCATACGCGTCTTACCCAAACACATACCTGTAGCTTTCCAAAATCTGAACCCAACCTAACCCGTTGGTCATCCCAAGTGAGCAGCCGTGAGTTTACCCAGCGCCCGGAGTGCTCCAGTCTCCGGACGCCTGTGGGGAGGGTATTCATATGGCCCGTTCAGCAGCTGTCTGACAGCACGCGGGGAAGGTGTGCCACTGCACCAAAGGTCGGTCCAGTTGGGCCCGATCTTTTCGGGACAAGTCACGACATACAGGGCACACAGGATCTGCCCTGTCCTGTCCTGTTCTGTCCCCGTCCTGTTCCGTCCTGTCCTGCTCCGGCCCAGGTCCGTCCCATCCCGTCCCGTTCGGTCCCGCTATGTGCTTAAGACCTTTTTCCGCGGGTCTTATCCCATTGATCTCCACATCCTTTGATTTTACATTTGCATTGTTATGCCGCCCCGCCAGGTTTTGTCTCCGATCTCTGTTTTACGTAGGCATCCATGGCGCCACTTCGTTTTCTTAGGCTTGTCGTGGGACCTCTCTCCCTTATAGATTCTGTGTATTTTCCACGTTGGCTTTATTTCGTTAAACTTTTTGTTCCTTGACTCTCCGCTTTAACTTTGACATGTCGTCAGATTTTATCCGTGTTAGCGGTTTGCATCTTTAACGGCGCTGTGTTGTCTTTTGTTTTCGTTGACTTACATGCCTTCTGACTTTACTCCAGGACCTTTCGTAGTTCTTTCTGTTTGGCTCGTCTCGTAGCGTTGATAACGATCTATCGAGGGAAGAACGCGACGAATCACACTAACCGTGACCACAAGTGGCCATCAAACCGAGACAGTGCCTCCGGCAACCAACTCAGAATCTTCCTTTGTCCACACACTTGGGCATCATGGCCAAAGACTGCAAATGGGTCGCGGCGCCGTGCAAAATGACGGTGCGCGGACCGCACGTAGCACGGGCTTCTGCCAGCGTGTGGAAGCTCGTGCTCTACGCGCCGACATCCAAGTGTGCGTGACGCATATGCCCGACCTCCATGGAGACCGAGCCAGTGAACAGCTGGTCCGTGGCAGCACGTAAGGCTCCAGCGCCTTTGACGCTAACTGTCGCGCGGTTTCGGTCCGAAAGCGCGCGCGGCGGCGCCGACCCTGTGACGTCGGCGGCAGCGCGGGAGTCGGCCGCGAGGTCTCGGCCAATGTCAAGCTACATAAGCGGCGGGCGCGCAGCCGGCCGGCTCAGTGTACGCCGCCGCACCGGTCCGGCGAGAGGCAGAGAGAGCGACACGGCCGGGACCGCGTCGCCGCTGCACGCTCACAGCTCGCGCGCGGCCTCCGGTAGCACGTCCGGCGCCTCCTTGGCCGAGCCCGCTCACCGGCCGCCACCGAGCAGCATGGAGACGCTGGCCGAGCTGGCTCCGGCGCCGGCGCTGGGCGACCGGCGCGAGTCGGCTGCCAGCTCGACGTCCACGGACAGCGACGACTGCGGGCCGTCGTTGCGCGCGCGGCCGGCGCTGGCCGGCGCGGCGCCGACGTCGGACAAGCAGCTGCTGGCCGTGGAGGAGGCTGGTCTGTCACACGCCGAGTCGTCGCTGTCCGACTGCCGTGACAGCGGCGTCGAGGCCGACGCTTACGTGCAGCCGGACGAGGCGACCGCCCTCCAGCTGGTCGAGGCCGTCGAGTTCTACTTCTCCGACGACAACCTGTTGAAGGACGCCTTCCTGCTGAAGCATGTCAAACGCAACAAGGAGGGCTTTGTCAGCCTCAAGCTGATGTCGAGCTTCAAGCGCGTCAAGCACATCAGCCGCGACTGGCGCGTGGTGGCGTTCGCGATGCGCTTCAGCTCTCAGCTGGAGGTGAACGAGGAGGCCACCAAAGTGCGCCGCCTGCAGCCGCTGCCCGAGCACGACGAGACCGTCACCAGCCGCACCGTGGTCGCCGTCAACCTGCCGCTGGAGAATCCGACCATCGCGTCCGTGTCCGAGCTGTTCGGCAGCTGCGGCGACATCAGCAGCATCCGCGTGCTCAAGCCGGGCAGCAACATCCCGGTGGAGGTGCGCGCCGCCTTCAACAAGCATCCGGACATCGCGTGGGAGGGCGTCAACTGTGCCGTGGTCGAGTTCGACCTGCAGGAGCAGGCTCGCAAGGCCAAGGAGACGATGGGCTGCGGCGAGCCGACGGACGCTGCCGCCATGCACATCATCCCGATCGGCAAGGTGAGCAACAAGAAGAAGTCGCGCCAGGAGGAGCCCGGCCGGCTGGCCGCCAGCCTGGAGGAGATCAACAACAACGCCAACGTGCCGGCTGAGAAGAAGCGGCGCCAGAAGCGCAAGAAGACGTCGCTGGTGCACATGGACAGCCACAGCTCCATGTCAGGCACGGACGGCGAGCTCAGCATGACGCCGATGCGGCGGCTGAGTGCCGCGTCGCGGCCGCCGCTGCTGCCGCTGCCGCCTGGTCTTCGCGCCCACCGCCTGTCGCCGCCGTCGCGGCCGGGCGGCATGTTCGCCTGCACCGACATCCGGCTGGCGGTGGAGCACCATCTGGTGCACCGCGGCAAGTCGCACTCGTCGCCCAACGTGCTGCCTCCGCAGAGCCTGGCCTCCCGCCAGCAGAAGTCAAACTCATTCTGCGGCGTGGTGCCGGCGGGCGCCTCGGACCAGTGCCCCTGGGTGCAGCGACGCAAGGCGTCTGGCATGCTGGACGCCGACCGGCGCGGCTCGCTCATGACGCAGGACAACGTGCACCGCGCGCCCCGCGGCCCGGACGGCACCCGAGGCTTCATCCGACCCAGCCGCCCGTCCGCCATCACCATCAAGGCTCCGCTCGCCGCCGCCGCCCCAGCTCCGGCCGCTGCTCCTGCTCAGGCCCCAGCTCCGGCTCCGGCCCCGGCCCCGGCCCCGGCCCCGGCCCCGGCTCCGGCCCCGGCCCGGGTCGCCGCCCCGGTGTCCACTGTTCTGTCCCCTTCCGCGCCGCCGTTTGTACCGGCCGCCATGCTCGCCGCTGCCGCCTCGACTTCTGCCCCTGTCGCAGCCAAACCGGCTCCTGTCCCGGCCCCTTCTTCGGCTAAAGGCGCTGCCGCCACTGTCTCTGCTGCCATCCCTGCCACTGCTGCAGTCAAGCCCGAGCCGGCTACTGTCCCTGCTGTAGCCGGTGCCTCTCAGTCTGCCGCCCCTGTCGCGGCAAATGTCTCGAAGACGGCTGCTCCTATTGCAGCCAAACCTGCATCTGCTACCGTTTCTGCTACAGCTAACGTCTCGAAGACGGCTGCTCCTACTGCAGCCAAGCCTGCAACAAATATTGTCCAGGCTGCAGCCAGCTCTGTCCAGAAGGTCGTCAAGGCTGCGGTCGACATCGCCCCAGTTTCAGCCAAGACCACTCCGACAGCATCCACCGCGACTCCAACTGCAGTCAACGCGGCTGCAGCTGCCGCACCAGCTGGCGACAAAAGCGCTCCATCTGCCACCAAAGCTACGGCCCCAGCCGACACCAACACCACCCAGGCGGGAGCCAAGACCACCGCAGCTGCCCCGCCAGCCGGAGCCAGCGCCGCCGCAGAAGCTGTTCCCGTCGGATCCAACACCACCGCCGCGGCTGCCCCAGCTGTTCCTGCCTCTGCCCCAGCCTGAACGACGCGCCCGAGGACGCTGTGATGACGAAGAGACCTGTGATAGATGCATCTTTTAGTCGCCTCCTTTCCCCCAACGGTGCACGCCCAGCATTTCAGGCGGTTCGGCCTGCTCACGACCGGATAGCCTTGGAACACACGCAAGTCTTACTCAAGCCCCAGCACCCCACTCCCGGGGTGATATTTATATATTTATTTGAACAGTGCGAGGATTCGTCAGGAATGGAAGAATAAGAATGCATGAGACGGCAAAGTGTGCGAACAGAATGCTCTTGTAAATTATTATATATCTTATTTTGCCGGTGAAAGGTTAAGTTATTGACGGCATGTCGGCTGCCAGTCAGCTGTTCATGCGTCGGAAATACAGATCTGCTCATAAACCATCTCTTACTGCACAGCAGAGCTGAGATAATGCGCATGAGGAGGAATGAGTGGGTAATAAGCTTAAAGTGCAATTCATGAGCGCAGGCATCCATCGACACGTACCATAACAGCTGCCTTCCTCAATCTGTGTGAAGGACAGATACAGGCTAGCTGCCAAGGTCATCGGCCAAGGCCACGCGTTTCGGTGTAAATGCGCTGGCGGAAGTGAAACGGCGCGAGAAACGTTAGCGGTTTTGCACAGGCGTGCTCGTCAGTCAACGGTTTCTAGCGAGCTTCAGTACGTGTTACTGCGCAGCTCTGCATATCAACTATCTGTCATTTTCCGTCTCGTTCTTTCAGTGCCTCCCCCATCAATGCGCGGCTTCATGTCGCCCTCCCGCCATCCATCGCTGTTCCCTCTCCCCAGAGCGCGCCCGCCCGCTCCCGCCGGCCACGTGTCTGCCCTGCTGCCGGCGGGTCCCCGGCGCTCTCCCTCCTCCGCGGTCTCTCCCCGCCCGCTCGCGCCGGCCACGTGTCTGCCCCGCTGCCGGCGGGTCCCCGGCGCTCTCCCTCCTCCGCGGTCTCTCCCCGGCCGACTCCCGTGGCCTCAGCCGACGGCCGCACTTCCCGCATGTGGAGCAAGGTCGGCCGATAAAAAGAGAAAGCGCCAGGCGAATAACCGCTCCCATGGATACGAGGCGCCGGCGGGCGGCCGCCGCCGCCGCTGACCCTCCGTCAAGGTCTCCTCCCGCCCCGCGGCCGCGCAGGAAGTGCAAAAACTGCCGGCCGCCGCGCCGGCACGTGAGCCGACGCGCCAATGGCGAGCCGCGCCGGCGCCTCGTGTGACCATGGCGGCCTCTCCAGCATCCAGGTCGTGCGCGCCGGCTGGCTGGGGCTCGGCCGCAGCGCAAACAGCGTCGCGCGCCGGCCGGTGGCGGGTGACTCACCGCGCTCAGGTGCGCCACTGTGCCCCTGCGCCCCCGCCGCGCCGGTTATGCCGCGCTGGTGATGAGCAGGGCGTCTGAGGTCCGATCCCGTCGGCCGCACGGCAGCTGCACGCATCAGCTAATCGCCGTTGAGTAGCGGGTGTGCGGCAGCGTGATTGGGCCGATAACCCGTAAGCGGCAGCAGGATTTCTCATTTTGTCCTGCCGTGATATACGGTGGTCATTCCTGCACTTGTCTCCACGGGTAAATTACCAATAGGGTTGGCGGGGTCCAGGCCCCAGCTGGGCAGATTTGACCATCATTGATGCGTTGCTCATATAAGAGGGCTAAAACAAAACTGGATTCCGTTAACACTGAGGGCGTAGTCACGTCCGCGTTTGTGTCACCAGCAGCCAAAATATCGACGACGTTCTGCAGATTTGCCCTGTTGCCACATGCTTTAGACCTTTAAATCACTTGCGCCATTTTAATCATGTTTAAGTTATCCAGGGAACGCTGGCGGTACGTGTCGAAGCGGTCCAGCGAGGTAACTTACCACTTACAGGCTGTCGGCGTCGTGATCAACGAGCTTGGCATAATAGCGCCTCTCGGTGGACGCAGGCAACAACAAGGGTTATTGGTACAAATTTGGTGCTGCCAGGCGTTGCTTTGCATCGCAAGAAAGAAGTCTTGGCACCGAACGTTTCCGTCCATCAGGAAAAGTACGCAGCGAAATATTTCAGCTGTAGAAAAACCAACAGCGGAACAGTTGAGACATGAGAGCCTATGGCAAAACGCCTGGGGCGGGAACTGTCAGCGGGAGGGTTCCAAGCCCCCCCCCCCCAACTCCCGTTAACAGGGCGTCTACGACCGTGGTTTGGTGGCTTTGACTGTTCAATGCTGTTCAACGCATATATATATATATATATATATATATATATATATATATATATATACACGCGTGCCGCCTTTCAGTAAGAAGACAGCATCGCTATTATGTTGGCTGTCAATAATCATATTTGTGTTTGATGGCGCTTCTGTACAATCCATTTTAGTTCCGATTTACAGCCCGTGGGGCTGATCACAACTCAGGCTCAAAGCACCACACTAAGATTAAGATCTGACCCCGTGTCCGACTCAGACACATGCAATTCAATTCCGGAATCGAACTGGACAAGGTCCAGTTCGCTGAAAACAGCAGAAAATATGGAACCTTTTTAGGGTGTTCAAACGTTATAGGCATACAGTTTCATGCTATGAATATCGGATTTTGACAAGCCTTTTTGAACTTGTCCACCTACTTAGGAGACATGGAATGCTGCTTTAGCTTACACACCATGGTCTAGTTGCTGTTATATTGCAAGTAGGCTGCAGCCTACTTAGCGTCAACTAACCGGCTCTCAAGACTGTGTACGAGGTGATATATATATGCAATGCAATCAGCGTCGTGCTCACAGGATTCTACAGAGAACACACGAAATGCTTTCGTTTTCTCTCAATTGTATGCTATGCAATCGAATTAAAGTGAATTGCAACGAATACTGACGGCCAGCCCATTATGCATTGCCCTAAACACACCATTCAATTTACAGCAGAAGAGCCTGGAAGTGTAAAACTGTATGCACATTGCGTGCAACATATCCTCCAAATTAGTTCATCCGCTTCTAAGCGTGACATAGGCGATTGAACAAGTGATACAGCGTGCGACTACGAAAATATAAATACATTGTATTATTAGATAAGCATCTCAAACACTATCAACATCAACACAACGTGAAAAATGACAGGAAACGGCAGCTCTCAAATCCTTCGCCACAGACCGCGTAAAAGGAACGCGTAAGATTCATCACCTGCTATCTACGATTAACATTCGTATAGCTAGAAGACTGTGCAGTGTGTAATATTCTCCATATGTACATTATCAGCATATCATACACTTTTTAACTGCAAAATGGCAGGAAAAGGTATTTAGATCGCCATTTGCTGCTTATTTCTATTCTCAGAGTACTTGTATTAGTTGAAAGCAATGTTTGGCTTTGAGTAAACTCATTGATGCCTTTTCCCTAAGCGTTTCATTCCATTACGAGTCCAACTCACCAAAATGTGTTTTGGAATATATTCTATTCTGAGCCGACGACAAGCTGTTTGAGCCCGGCGTCGATATTCTGACCCCTCCCCGAGCAAAGCACAAGTCTGCTGATAACACAACTGCCGGCCTAGTCAACCCACATATTGAAAATTTTACCATGGACGAGCGAATTCATTGGCACTTACATTCCATCCACGCATCACATGGACTGAGTACGGACATCATTCTTTTGTAATTCGGCTCGGCGCTTCAAGGCACTGGACTCACTGACAACGCTCATTTTCAGTTAAATGAATGGATAGCGTCATTACCTTCTTCAGGTTCATAGGGCATTTCCTTACACCTTTGCTCTTTCTGTTGTAATGATTCTGCGGGATACTGACTTTAGCATGGAGCCCTGTGCAGCGCGACAGCGGTACTCTCACATAAGGATAGGAGTTTCCTTCCAGGCGCGTTCTATCTGAATGGAATAGCAATGGAAGCTATGTCGGAATCAAATGGCTAAAATGTCACACTCAGATCGAGTCAGACAGATCCCAATATCTTTGAAACACCCTTAATGTCGCATTGTTGCATCGTGGCATTGTGCACGACAAAAGCATCCCCCGGCAATGGCATCTTGCACAAGCCGACAACAGGATTATCCGTTGAAATGAGGCCGCACTACGGCGGCTCAATGTATGAGGGACGAACTTTGCATAGTAGGTACCCCGAGCTCAAGATTATCCCATCAGACCACTCGAGGTTTATTTGTGAAGGATAACTATCTCATAACCTGGGATTTCCACTAAAAGTCCGAGAAGCGTACACAGACCGTGGAGGACCCCAGTAACAGTTGTATTCAAGTCTTGTTAGGTGACACTGCTTACGCGTTCTCATCAACGGGCTAAGTCAATATGAAATGTGAAAAACAATATTTAGATATTTGGCGTGGCAGATAAAGATTCACTGAGATTACCGACATGTAATCTCACGTTTTGTGACGAGCGCTCTAAAGAGTATGCGGCGCAATTACCGTATGCCAAATAACACTCACATGAGCTATGTCCCAAAAACTACACTGTTCCTATATTGCACCAGCTGTCGATTGACGCGCAAGCATGGCGGCCGTGTTACCGCTTCTTACCGAGGCAGGTGAACAGCACAAATGCCAGTCAGTGAACCAGGACACAATATACAACATCGATACAACACCGTTGCTGCGCAAACCGCACTACAGTTAGTTGGACGCGAAGTTCATTGGGCGCATCCCAAACTGTCCGGAAGCCATCGCACTTTTCCAAAGCTACATCGTCATACGTCGTCATGTTGAAGCTAACCATGATCTGGCAGGCTTCTCATCCTGCCACTGACACTGTGGCGTTCGTATCAACAGCACGCTGGCCCGAGGCCTCTCAGCTCATCATGGGCCCGTCTCTGGCGTCGGTCGCGCCGCTTGTGGCTCGCGCCGGGCTGCTGGGCGGCGCTGGGCCGGCTAGCTAGCGAGGCGTCCGTGTGGTTCGCGCCGGGCTGCTGGGCGGCGCTGGGCCGGCTAGCTAGCGAGGCGTCCGTGTGGTTCGCGCCGGGCTGCTGGGCGGCGCTGGGCCGGCTAGCTGGCGAGGCGTCCGTGTGGTTCGCGCCGGGCTGCTGGGCGGCGCTGGGCCGGCTAGCTGGCGAGGCGTCCGTGTGGTTCGCGCCGGGCTGCTGGGCGGCGCTGGGCCGGCTAGCTGGCGAGGTGTCCGTGTGGTTCGCGCCGGGCTGCTGGGCGGCGCTGGGCCGGCTAGCTGGCGAGGCGTCCGTGTGGTTCGCGCCGGGCTGCTGGGCGGCGCTGGGCCGGCTAGCTGGCGAGGCGTCCGTGTGGTTCGCGCCGGGCTGCTGGGCGGCGCTGGGCCGGCTAGCTGGCGAGGCGTCCGTGTGGTTCGCGCCGGGCTCCTGGGCAGCGCTAGGACGGTTCGCTGGCGAGGCGTCCGTGTGGTCCGCGCCGGGCTCCTGGGCAGCGCTAGGACGGTTCGCTGGGGAGGCGTCCGTGTGGTCCGCGCCGGGCTCCTGGGCAGCGCTAGGGCGGTTCGCTGGCGAGCAGGCGTGCTCTCGCATCACGACGCGCCAAGTGGCGATGCGTGCGGGAACCAGAGGCGGGTCTGTGTCACGACGCACCAGGAGAAGCGTGCTGCTGTCACGATGCCTCCGGTGAAACGCTCGCATATCACGACCAGCAGCCGTGAATGCCAGCGGCTCGCGACAGCCCCGGAGAGTGGCGCACAGCCAAAGTACGCTCAAAGATCAGCAAACCAGCGAACAGTATCAGTGTCATAAGAAATGTATTTTGTTCAGCCATCATGAAGCATGTCCGTTATTTATGGACAACCATATATCACGTAGCCTTATTGCAGTATGTTTGATTGCAAGCTGATGCAAACTAGCGAATCACGCATTGCGAATGCCAAATTGGACGAGATAATGTAATATCACGAACTTTAAATTTTCCCTCTGTTCCACTCACGACATGGACCCGCTGTGACGCAGAGTTCTTCCGGGCGTAATACGGCTACCAGAAAGGTTGGGTGTTTGCCCACAGTTCATAAACAGTTCGCGAATCGCTATTCGTGGGTGTCTGCTGGCGCCTTTGCCGCCGGCCGGCCAGCTGTTCACGAACACAATGCTCGCAAACTGGTCCCGGACTGTTCAGGAGTGCAAATGCATATGTCTTAAGCAAACAGAAGGAGGTGACCAAATTGAAAACATACGATGGTTTTTGCTTTTCGGAAGTTCGGAACCGTACGTTTTAATTATATTACCTTCTGAAATAATTTTACTTATCTTGAACATGAAGGCGCTTGAAATGACTCGTCAGCCAGCACTTTGGTTGCACAGTGGTTGGCCCAGTGGAGGGCCAGGAAAGGGACAGTGGCGGCTTCCAGTCATCTGCCGTCGCGGACTGGACGGCAGATGGTCGAGTTTGCGGAATGAAAAAATGGAACAGTGGTCGCGTTTGTTGGCTTCCTTTCGTGTGGACCGGTGATGTACAGAGGCATTTACCGCGCGTTTTCTGCTCGTGCAGTGCTCAGCTCGTCCTGTCTTCGCTTTGCCGTCTACATCAGCGGCTTGGCTGGCCGCTTGGGCATCCCAGGCAACGGTGTGCGTGTAAATTTATCACGCATACCGAAACCAATGCCTTCATGTTTGCGGAAACGAGCGACACGAAAGGCTCAGACGGAAATAGCATCATAACATTCGCGTAATACCGCAGCAGCGCCGGGTGCTTAAAAAACGCTCATGGTCAGCTTACTGCAGGATTTCCTGGTCGCCGACTGATTGCGGACCGTTCATGTTCGTTTGTATTCGGTCGTGACTTCGGTCGCCGGCTGGCCAGCTGTTCGCAAACAGTTCGTTCCTGTTCGTTTATGAATCGAAACTGACCAACATGTAGCCTTGGGCACCGACCTTTATCTCCATCCGCCATGATGCAGCGCATGTCCCGGTGCCGAATGGTACATATCACAGACCGCCCTACAGAGGTGTCGAATCGTTTGACACTTAAAACATCAAACTGTCATGTGTCCAAGGATAGACAAACATGTGTAAAGGCTCCTAGTTTTAGATCCTATTTCTTGACTTATTGAACTTATGCACTTGTTTCTAACGGACGACAAGAAAACATCCCGCGCCGTTATCACCATGCAAAGCCAAAACGACATCGCCTCCAGGAAAACCATCTCGTCAGGCGGCTAATCATTTCATGGGCCCAAGCACTCAGTAGAGGGAGGATTTAGAACGGAAGAGTCAAGTCCTCCAAATGAGTTTACCTTCAGCACAGGAAGCGGTCGGTATACCGAAAGTCTCGTTACAATGCGAGCCGTATTAACACGTAGGCGCGCTATGCTTACAGTTCTTCCAGTAAACTTTATGTGCATTCAAGCAGAGTAGTGTGAATATGTCCTACCATTGAGGTGGAAGCCCCTCAGCGCTCCCAAAACGCATCCAACGTCTTTTGGCTCTCCGAGGAGTTACTGGATTCCTGTAGGTCTCCTTCAGCACACCAGGTCCCCGGGGGTCTGGTGACAGAAGGGAACGGCCAGACATTACTGTCCATTTGATCAACCCCGACGAACGTCCAGTTAATAACCCGTCCAGGTCCAGGTTTGCTTATCGCTGGTAAGGTTACTACCGCATGATATTTGCGTACACTCACCTACCGTCGGAACCCCCCCCCCCCCCCCGCACCCCACTTGCCGAACATGGTGCCTTCCCCGGACTCCTGCACCTGCAAAATGCTTTCTTCTTCACCGACATTGAACAGTTTTATTCGAAGGCTCTCAAACCATGCGATAGATGATCTCGGATTGCTTTCGGTGCCATCATGAAGGTGCAGTCCAACTAAGCGCAGGTGACCCATAGACCCTGAATGTGCCTCTTGCCGGCACAGCACCTTGGTTCCGCTCCGTTTCTTCCTGAAATCGCAAAACGTGTGCTAATGTCGTCGTTCGGGCGAGGCGCGCCAGACCGCGCACAGAGAGAGCCAGGAGCGCGCACGAACGCAAACCCAAGTCCGCTGGCTGCAAAGCGCAAAGCTCAGGATCCTATGTTGCAGCAATGGCCATGCCCAGCATCTGATAGCTCAGCGCCAGAAATAGCAGGCAAACCTTGTCAGTAGGAGCCGCCCGCAGTGACGTCATTCATGGACCGTATTCATCCTTCCAAAGAAGTGCTTAACCGACATAATTATTGCTGGTGAGGCGCGTTCTAAGTGCTCGCTCGGGATTCTACTGCCTCTTTTACTACGTCATAGGATAGAGAAACAGAGAAGTGGCGTGAAGGGAGTCATCTGGGTGTGTGATGTCGTCTGTCTGTGTGTTTTCATTGAAACGAGCTCACGGATTTAGCTTGAAAAAAAACAGGCATTCGGTAATCAGGCATCAAGCATCGGAGCATGCCAAACACTTCGATGTGCCAAGGCATTCGATAAGCCGAAGCCTGAGCCGAAGCGTTACTGTCGGAGGACAGCAGACATTTGACTGGCCCACTCGCGCCTCCCCGCGCCCCGTAAACTTCTTCCGAGACGAGTCCGGGCAGAATACTGTGGGAAGTTCTGGCATCACAGGCAGTTCGCTTCCGTTTGACTCGTAAGTGCTTCTCCTGAATACCCGCGCGGTAAAGGTGCATTCTTGCCGAGAGGTCCGTCCGTTCCTGACATCCCCCGTTGCATCGCTTCAGTTGCAGGGCAAAACCCTGTAACTGAAGCGAGAGCTCATGCCATGCTAATGTCGTCAGGATTTGCATGCGTCGAATAATCTACGGGTGCAGCTGACGGACCTGATCGGGTTGTTAGCGCTTACCCCTTCAAAAGTGTCGGAAGATGTCCCCATTCAATGCATCACAGGACGATGAAGTGCGCTTGTAAGCGGGAAGGAGCGACAGCCAGCTGCCTGGTCGGCGCACGAGAGGGGGGCCGAGAGGCCGGAGGGTCCGCTCAGCGCAAGGTCAACAGGGCGTGTCGCGCGTGTGTGGACGCTAGGGACGCTCGTCTCCCGACCTCGCAGTCTTATCAGTTGGCCACTACCCGCCGGCGGCGTGGCAGCTGCAGCAGCAGAGACCAGCCCCGGAGATTGAAGCCATGCAAAGAAGCCGCGGCGTCTTGGAGATCCAGAGACGTGAAGAGGTCCAGAGGCCGACGTGGCGAACAGAGCAGTTCATTGCATTAAACGCGACCCTCTGTTTTCGCTACCATTCAGAGTCGAGCGATGCCGTAATTTGTGTCGTTCCTGAGCAGGCGCTAAGGGCGCTGCTGCTGTTCCTGCAGGTGGTAATGGTGACGACAGACATGTTATATCACGGACGGCAGTCAACAGCGGCGGGCTAAAGCCTCGCAGTTCCAAGGCTATGCACTGTGTTCATGATGTGTCACGGATCGCCAACCTTTAATTGCGCGTGCCATGGCCCTGCTGCGGTCGACAGTTACCGTGTACCAGCTGGAAAAGTGGAGGCGTAGCACGCGAACCACGAGAAAGGCCTGCTAGGCTGGCGAACATAAGACTGAGCAATGCCGAATAATCCGAAGATTAAAGTGAAAGAACGGGTGTTTTCCAAGCATCACAGCATGAAGCTTTTGCGCTTCCCGACGGTTGCTGTTCTACCGAGCGTGTTCCGTGTTAATTTTTTTAAGTGTTTTATCATTTATTTTGACTCTAATGTTGGGTAATGGATGGAGACCATTTCGCAGCGGGGTATGTGTCTTAATAATGTTATTGACACGAGATAACATAAAACTTGAGACTCGAAAACCCGTATTTTTTACATGAAGCTATTTCAACGATTGATTCACAACAATAGGCTATGCTTGGTTTGTCCCAGGCACGTGGACGCTGAGTGATTGAACAACTTGCACCGAAATGATGCGCCGAAGCAACGTTTGACAAACCATGCCTTCCGAAAGTAGGGTGTTGACAGATTTTTTAGGATAAAGGTGTGATAACCTGACCGAAGGTCTTGCAGTCTAGATAAAATTGCGAGCATGAAAGAAACAGCCATTAAATCCCCATTGCCATAGACCCAGACTGATATGGACGGCAACAGAATACGCATGTGCACATCTTCAACTAGCATACGAGTCTGCACACCAGCCGTTTACGGTTGTTTGATAACCAGGTGGCAGGTTTAGACTGCTGCAACCGAATCGTCCCATGACAGGGCGCCGGGGGTCCCGCGGCGGGATGTACGCCGGCGGCCGGCCGTGAGCTGCAAATACAGTACGCGGGGAGTGGCTGATGACGTGCTGGGGAGGGCGACGGGCGTCGATCGCCCACAGCGCCGGTGTGACGAGTTCGGCGAAGCCCGCCCGCGTTCCCACGGTCGTGGCTCACCGCAGCGCTGCCTCTCGCCGCCCCTGAGCGGACGCCCCGGACTGATCACTTCAGCCGGCGCGGGGACGCGCACCAGGAGGGTGCAAACGACTGATCGCAGGGGCCAGTGGGGCACCGGTCAGGTGTTAGCGCCCCGGCGGACCGTCCGCAGCGGTCATCCGCGCGCGTCCAGCGGCGCCACTCTCCTCTGTACACCAGTCCGGCAGCGAGGCGAGGAGCGGTCGCTGTGGCGGCCCCTCAGCGCACCGGTGCAAACAACGCAGCCATCCGCGGGCGGAACACGGGACAGAGAGAAGCGACGCAGAAGGCCGCGGCCCTGTGCGGAGTGACACAGTTCCGCGTACATGACGGGGCGTATGTGTAAACACGGCCCGGCTCGCTCGCGTGGCACCGCCTCTCTGTCGCCGCCGGACGCCGCCGCCGCCCCTGCCCCTGACGGCGCCGCTGCCCCTGCGCGGCGGCAGCCAGGGTCGACCGGACGGGAAGAGCGGCCGGGACAGGGGCGACCGTCTCCCAGCGCGGCGGCGGCACCAATCCAGGCCAAGGTCGGGTGCGCCCGCCGGCCGTGCGGAAGTCAGGCCGGTGCCGCCTTTTTCGGCGGCCTTGTCCGTCCGGGCAATGTGCGCACGCCGGCACAGGGCCGATCAGGCCGCGCAGGCCGGGCCTCCGCTCAAGGAGAAGCG